TAAAGTGAGAATTGCAAGATATAAAGTCAATTGCGTGAAATAGTCAGAATAGCGAGATATAAATTCGCAATTGCGAGAAAAAGTCAGGATTGTAAGATCTCGCAGAAATCTCGCAATTGCGAAATATAAAGTCAGAAGTCGGGTTTATATCTCACAATTCTGACTTTACATTTCGCAATTGACTTCGAGAATTGCAATTTTTAAGACATAAAAGTCAGAGCTGTGTTCTTTTCTTATTCTGTGACGGAAACAAAGCATTGTAGCTGGTTGGGTTATGAAAAACCTCAGATTAATACGGAAGCAATAATATTTAACTATGAATTGGATGTTACTTTGAATTGACTTGTTAATGGATAAAGATGTTTGTTTGGTTTCATAAAGACTGAAATTGAAAGACCAACCGTGATCAGCTGTAGGTAAATGTGTAGTGATGATGTCATGACGCCCGGATCTTTGTCGCACAGGGCTTTACGAAACTTGGCGTGAATGTGCTGGACTTGATTCGGAGCGATAAGATAAAACTTGTACAACGCCAGGACGGCTTTCCTCCGAATGATCTCCCTTGGAGAGGAAAGAAAGACAAGAATATGTAATTATTAAATTAGTAATGTTGCCTTGGCAAGTTTAAGTTGCTTTAAATTATTAAAAATGAAACCAAAATTATATATATATATATATATATATATATATATATTGATTTAATTTATTTTTATTTCAGTTTCAGTTTAGCTTTTATATTAATATTTTTAGTTTTAATTTTAGGAATTTTATGTCATTTTATTATCTTTTAAGAAAATATTTCTATACAGCTTTATTTTAATTCAGTTTTATTTGAGCTTTTATTTAAATTTTGGTAATTTTTTGTCATTAATTGTCATTTAAGTGAAATTACTGAACTTAAATATACAAGCTTGATAAAAAATGGTCATTTTAGAAGAAAATTTCAAATGGCATTTAGAGGCTTTTGCATCTGAACTCTTCATATATATATATATATATATATAACTAATTGACAATGATATATATATATATAAACAAATGAACATAAAAATGACAAAAAATTACTAAAATTTTAAAATATAAAAATAAAAGATAAACTAAACCTGAAATAAAAATATTAAAGCTATATAGATTTTTTTAAAAGACCATAAAATGACATATTACTAAAATTAAAATGAAAGTAAAAATATAAATATAAAAGCTAAACTAAAACAGAAATAAAGCTAAATGACAAAAAGCACATAAATTACTACCATTAAAATGAAAACTAAAAATATAAAAATGAAAGCTAGTTGAAAATATGAATAACTATTTTAATAGTGTATAACAATACTAAAATTATACTAGTTTTAAATGAACAACATCAGCCATATTTGATAATATATCTAAAAGTCTTATTGATGGCTTTTAGATATTTTCCAGAGTTCAAATAAGAAATAACTTGGTGTATTTCAGAGGAGAGACTCTCGCTGGCTTACTTCGGATGTGACAGCTTGTCTTCTAGCAGAGGAAGGACGGCAGGAATCATGTCTTTAGGGAAAACCTGAGCTACAACAGTCAACGCCATGCACACTTCAATGAGGTTAGTGCTCTGAAGATCCTGCCACATATGTATGACACGTTCAGTCATACACTTCAAGTAATATATTCAATCAAAAGTAATAAAACACAAGCTCACCTTTAATACTGTGTTTACCAGCAGCAACAGCAACTCATGGCCCTCACTGAGGAAGAGAGACACTGCGAGATACCCTGAGAGTACAACAACATCATCTACATAAGGGTTCAAATCACACACAGTCAGAGACCAAAATGATTTTTTTTTCCCCCATAAAGAATCTCCACATGGAGATCTGGAATTATAATAATAGCAGATTTGTATAATTAATATAGAAATAAATATTCTAATACACTGCCATTCAAAAGTTTGGAGTAATTCAGATTTTTAAATGTTTTTAAAAGAAGTCTGCTCACTAAGGCTGAATTTATTTAATCATAAATACAGTAAAAAAAAAAAAAACAACAACAGAAATATTGTGAAATATTTTTGCAAATTAAAACAACTGTTTTCTATTTGAATAAGTTTTAAAAATTTAATTTATTCCTGAAATCAAAACTACATCATTATAGAGTTTTCAGTGTCACAATTCAGAAATCATTCTAATATGCTAAATATTTGCTGCTCAATTATTATTGGTGCTCAATAATCTATAATAGTTGGTGCTGATTATTATCAATGTTGTCGAGCTGCTTAGTGTTTTTGTGGAAACTGGTACATTTGTTCAGGATTCTTTATAAAAGAACAGCCTTTATTTGAAATATTAATATTTTGTAATATTATAAACTGTCACTACTGATCAATTGAATGCATCCTTGAATAAACCTTTCTTATATCAAACTTCTGAATGATAGTGTATCACAGTTCCCACGACAATATGAAGCAGCAAAACTGTTTTTAACATTAATCATAACAAATATTTCTTGAGCATCAGATCATCATATTAGAGTGATTTCTGAAGGATCATGTGACACTGAAGACTGGAGTAATGATGCTGAAAATCAGCTTCGATCACAGGAATAAATTACATTTAAAAACATATTCAACTATTCACTTTATTTTAAATTGTAATAATATTTCACAATATTACTGTTTTTACTGTATAGATTGTGTTTTATATACTGTATATATTAGGGCTTTCAAATGATTAATCGCGATTAATCGCATCCAAAAATAAAAGTTTGTGTTTACACATTATATGTGGGTATATAAATACACACACATGCTTGTATATTTAAGAAAAAAAAAATATTTATATATAAATATTTATATATAACGTAAATTATATATAAATCTATATACAGTATATACATGAAAATATTTCTTAAATTTATATAAATAAAATAATTATACACAGTGCAACCACAAATTTTGGATGTCATTAATCCTTTGACAGCCCTAATATATATATATATATATATAAATTATGTATTATACATAAATATTATTATTATTGAGACAAATTGTGGACCCAGTACTGTCCAGTGACTGAACTGAAGGTGAAGTGACCGTACCCACTCTCTTCTCCAGGACGCTGCCCTGCTGGGCCAGTTTGATGGCATGAATGTATGTGAAGGAGGCGTCGTAGCCCAACATCTCACAGTACATGGCTCGCACCATGACCTCTCTCATCTGCTTCTGTAAGCACCACACACACACACACAGAGTTCAAATAACCAGCTTCTGAGGGACAGCGATGATGACGCTGTTGTCTGTACGGCTCACCATGCTGGTGTTGGGAGAAGCAACTTGCTCTTTCATGGCAGACAGCTCCTGTTTCATGAGCTTCTCCTCCTCCTACAAATGCACACCAATAACACACTTTACAGTAACAAAACACTGCATTGCATTTGTATACGGTATTTAATCTCTTTAAACCTGGCGACTTTTTTGCAATAGTTTTAAAATACAGTGTTTTACAATATTTATTTTGTAAATATTTTACTATTGATTGTTTTTTTTTTACTATTTATTATTAACCGTAACATTATTACTTAGTAAATCATTTTTAATTATATATATATATATATATATATATATATATAACTCTTTTAAAATGATTTAATGATCATATTTATTGATTTTACTCAATATTTGTATTTTTACTGGTGTGTATGTGTGTGTATATATATCAGTAAAATACAAATATTGAAAACACACACACACACACACACACACACACATATATATATATATATATATATATATATATATATATATATACCAGAAAAATACAAATATTGAGTAAAATCAATAAATATGATCATTAAATAATTTTAATAGAGTTATAAAATGTTTATACTTTTTAGGTGACATGTCACACTGCAAAACACTACAGCCACTGCTTAACACGACAAATACCCTCAAATAAATGACATGTCAGGATCTATATTGATGCTTATGTGTGTTATAAGTATTTATTTTCCTCACATGTTTAGATGTCAGTTCTGTGATGCTTCTGATGAGTTGTTTTAATCCGCTGGTGATTTTTGCGGCTCCAGTTTGAGTCTCAAATAAACCCGGCAGAGCAGAGAGAGTTTTCTCCACAACATCACTCATTTCAGCTCGACAAAACAGACAATCAGATTATAACACACAGCCAAGACCCTACATAAAGATAGGCGCACTACAGCAGGAGAAATGCCCATACAATACCTACACTACGGTCATAACACACAGTGTGAAACACAAACCATCATGACTAGACTTTCTCGCCGCCTACAGGAAGTACGCTGCTATTTATTCATAATAAAAGTCCCACAAGAGCTTTTACTGAATATTTCACCATAATAAAAGTACTAATAATATTAGTAAGTGTGATTCTTTTTTAATTAATTTATGAATACTATTTTTTGTAATACTTTTACTGTTAAATTGTTCACTGTTTTTTTATTTTATTTTACAAAACTATATGCAGATTTTTAAGCAGAATGAAATAGCAATATTACGGAAGCCCTGAACCGCAAGGTGAGAAAAAAAAAGAAAACTTATCTCGTTATAACGACATATGACGAAATAACGATGTATTATGTCGTTATAACGAAATATGTTGTCGTTATAACGACATACTAAGTCGTTAAAACGACTTAATAAGTCGTTAAAACGACATAATATATCGTTATAACGAGATACGTGTTATTTTTTTCTCACCTTGCGGTTCAGGGCTTCCGTACAATATAATGAAATTTTGTAAATGTAAAAAAATAATAATAATAATAATTTATTAAAGCTAAATAATGGAAAATGAATGAACAAACTTATTAGGGTGCCATGGAAGGAAACAGAATGGGTTTTAAATTGATGATGACAGACTTTTAATTTTTAGATGAATTACTTTCTATTTCTATTGAAATAATAATTAAAAAAATAAATAAAACTTATCTAATATCAAGAAAGACACTTCAACGAACATTAAACATGAATTAAAAAGACACCACATGGCTTTCAGTGTTTAAAATCCATTTATTTATTTTATGTATATTGATAACTGTGTCGATATGACAACCTATATATTATGGTATATACACTTTGCTACAGTAAGAAAGAACAATTATAGTGGCATAATAAATGACGATTACGAGTAAGAGATCATAACTACCGGACGGTAAATCTGTCATCTTGCATATCAGCTAAACAATATTTCCCATTTCACTCCTAAAAAATAATTCAAGTCGTCAATCTGGTAAATAATCTTTGTTGAGCCTCAACCTCATGCACAGATCTAAACAACATAGATTACATTTGTATTTTTTTTATTCATGTTTAAGATCAATTATTTCTTGGATCAAAGTTGGAATGTGTTCACCTACATTCATACACACAAACTAAAACAGCATTACCATAGAAACCATCCAAGGCCATCCCATAATATCAAGCGTGGTGTGAACGGAGGGACTGTGTTGATTAGAGTTGAAGTGGATGCACTACAGTCTGTCTGTATTATTTACTCTACTGCACTCAACACACTATTAGAGTCTGCGGTTATCCTTGATTCCTGATAAAAGAGTGAGAAATGTGAAACACAACCAGTCTGAGGTTCAGGCAACATTCAGGCCCAGATCTGAAGAAAGAAAACAGACAAACTCTGAGACTTTCATCACAATGCTTAATACACTTACACTGGCTGTATTAAGAAATGTTTTCCACTGACCCGTAATGTGTGATCCCAAGATCCCGAACAGAACGATGTTCCGTCCGGAGAGACGCGGAGGGTGCTAACTCTGTTTTCATGTCCGAACAAGATGGACACGCGGGTGCCCTTTAAAACGTCCCATACATTGATTGTGTAGTCATTGTAACCACCAAACAGCAGTCTCCCTGCACAAAGATATTAGCATAGCATAAACTCCTTCAAAAAGAAAATGAGTCTTGGTCATTTTGCTAGAGACATTAATAAATATGTATGTGTTTGCTTTATAAAATGTGCTTTGTTGTGTGATATTTTTGTTGACTGCAGCTTTATAAGAACAACTATGTGTAAGCTGTAAGGAAAGAAACCGTTTTTTCTAAATGAGATTTTGGCAGTTTTGGAATGGAATAACAGCATATTTGCACTTTACAGTAAATATTCTGCATACAAATTAAAAAATATTAAATATATAATCTGAACAAGAATGCACCATGTTTTCAAACACAATTTATGAAAAAATAATAAGCCATTAAAATATGTAACATTTTATCTATAATATTAATATATTTTTACATATTGTTGTACTTATTCAATGTGTGCATAATTTATATGTATGTGTATATACAGAATATTGCAAAAATAAAAATCTAATGATGGCAGAAAAATATGGTCAATATAGTATAAAATATAATTAGGGCTGTCAAACGATTAATCGCATCCAAAATAAAAGTCTGTGTTTACATAATATATGTGGGTGCACTGTGTATAATTATTTTATATATATAAATACACACACATGCTTGTATATATTTAAGAAATATTTTCATGTATACTGTATATAGATTTATATATAATTTATATTATATACAAATATAAATATTTGATATATAAATAATATTTTTTCTTAAATATACACGCATGTGTGTGTATTTATATATAAAATAATTATACACAATGCACCCACATATATTATGTAAACACAGACTTTTATTTTGGATGCGATTAATCGTTTGACAGCCCTAAATATAATAGATCATAAATATTAATAATAATGAATATTATATTTTAATCACTTTATAAAAAACAGCCAGGACAGGACGTGAAACCAGGACATGTCCTGGGAAAACAGGACTGTTGGTCGCCCTAATATACAGTACTGTTATCAGACCAATCAAATAGTGAGTTGAGAAGGAGATATTACAAATTGTGGTTGATTACTTTCATTGATAACACTGAAAAAGGGAGGTTGAGGGCACTGAATTGTGGGATACGGTACACTACAGTGTGTTCTGGATAAGCACTGCACCTAACCTAAAGCAATAGGCTCTGTGAGTACAGGTGAAACTCGAACAATTTGAATATTGTGCAACAGTACATGTATTTCAGCAATTCAAATTAAAAGGTGACACTAATATATTTAGGATATACATAACTATATACATATGCATGATTATACCGACATTTCTGCATATAAAATCCTTTTTTTAATTGATTTCAAGTAATATTCTAATTTTCTGAGATTTTGAATTTGGGTTTTTTTTATAAGCTGTAAGCCATAATCATCAAAATTATAACTTTTTATACAGTTTACATCAAATATTACCAGTGATATTATATTATGATATTTTAAATATGATAACTGCTCACCGCTGAGAGAGAAATCCACACTAGAGGCTCCAAATATGATGCTCTCTTTGGAATAAATGGCCACCTCTCTGTCTGCCCTCAAGTCATAGAGACGACACTATGAACACATACAGTGAGGACAAGATTGAATGCATTTTTTTATTATTTCAACACAGGAAGTATGAAAAATCGAAAGGAGAGAACAGACTCACAGTAGCGTCATCTGAGCCTGAAGCGAAAGCATCTCCGCTTGGATAGTACCTGCAGTGATAATAAAATATGAGCAGTCACGTGACTCTCTCGCTCGGTAAACATTCAACAACACTCGAAGGTGCAGCCAAAGACAAGTCAGATCAGTCGACGGCCATTGCCTTTACATGGTCATAACATTTTGAGGGTATACAGACTATAAATATTGACCAGCATTGTAAAGGCATGAGTCTACTTTGTTCTTTATGCTCTATGACAAACCTGAAAACAGGCCTGAGGACACTCACCGCACACTGTTGATGTCTGATTCATGAGTCTCAAAAGACTGGACACACTGTCCCGTGCGCAAGTCCCACACGCAAGCCTTCTTATCGCAGCCCTGAGAGAAGCGAGAACATACAGGTCACTGCACAGGCATGCTAACAGCTCCATTGTGCTCATGTGTCTGTGTGTGTGAATGAATGCTGTGTGTGGGCTTGTTCTGCTACACCAGAATGTCTCCAGATGACCCCACAAAACCTCCCCAAGGGGATGACCCCCAAAAAAAAGGTCAATAAAGAGACTAAATTTAGGTCTGGTTTATGTTTTAAAAATACCAATCATCTACCCAATAATTCAAAAAGACCCAGGCCTGATTTCACAGTCAGGGTTTAGATTTAGTCAGGATTAGGCCTTTTCAATTAGTACATTTAAAGAACTTTTATAAACATGACTTTGAAAAAACATTACTGGTGTACAAGGCTTGACTTTTTTTGCTCGCCAGCCACTGTTGCTAGTTTTTTTTTTTTTTTAAGTTACGAGCCACTCAGCATTTTCACTGGCCACAATTTTTGACATTGATACCATGGGGGAAAACTGCCATATAAATATTTTTAATAGTAACTTATAATATGCCAGCAGGTTTATTAGGCTGCTGCCACTTTAAGACCTGACGCACTGATCCATTACACTGTTACACATGCGTATTCCCTCTCAACTGTTTACGTTCACTTAAAGGGGACATATCATGCAAAATCCACCTTTTTAGCCCTTAAATCAATTTTGTTGTATATTTGGAGTGTTTATAAGTACAGAAACGACTAAATTATTCTCTTCAGGTGCTTCGTTTATATCTTTATATTCTGTTTTGGTCATATTTTTTCAGTATGACTCTATGACGTTTTTTGAACAATTACGCCACAGTATTTGCAGCTGAATTGACAAATAAGGACATTGACTACCGGTCCAACACTTCGAGCAATCCACCATTTTTATTTCTCGCTCCGATTTTGTAATCCAAGCTCAATGATGCAGAAGTTACGAGAGGGCAAGTCAAAATGTTCGGTTGTAGGATGTAGTGACCTGAAGCACTTCAAGGATTCCCACTTCAACAACCTCCGCCAGTATAAAGAAGGGTTTGCCGATTGACTTCGTCTGAATGAGGGGTCAATTCCTTCTATCTTTGGAGACGAAGAACAGAGCATTTCCATAAGCTGTAAATATCGTTAATAAAAATAAAGTACTTTACTTTCTTCAAACACATGGTGGTCATGGTTTAGCAGTACCTTTGTCTTTCTTTGTTTTTGTTTTGAAGTAACATTAGACGTCTGCAGTATTATTGTTCTTGAGTTTCATCAATGGTCATGTGGTCAATGCTGTGTTTCAATCATATTATCAATAAAGATTTTTAGAGGTATGATTTTAGAGGTTCGCTCGCTCTGGCTCGAACATGTAAGGCTTGATGGACAAGTCCTCCGTTGTTGACATTTTGTTAACATGTGAATAAAAATGTTCTGTGACGATATATAATCGTGTGTCTCTAATCAAACTACAAAAATGGCCGAACGGGGTGGAGTTGAACCGACTGTGAACTCATCGACCTGGAGAGCGAGCGGGGTATGACACATCTCCTTTTTATTTAAAGAAGCCGCTTCAAAACAAGTTGCTCACAGACGCACATCAGAAAAGGGGTAGAAAAGGGGCTTGTGGAGCTATAATGGGCTATATGCACGCATAAGTTCCGCATTTGACGTAAGGATGCTCGTCCATTTCCGGTTGTGTAGATTAAAGCGGAGGAAAACCGGAGAAAACGGGATTATGGCAGAGTCTTCAATATTTACTGTCCTCCCGTCTTTGAAACGAAACGTACATACGTTTAGATGTAATTTTATATATAGTTATGTTTATTTAATATAATTTTAAAAAGAAGCATAAACACAACGAGGGGTGTCTGTTTTATCTGTTTTTGTGACTAACGTTTCATTAGTATAACCATGGAGTATAAAATTCAATATAAATTCTCGGTATTGCATTGGACTCTATGATCGGCGGAAGTTATCGAGCATCCTTAATCCTTCACCGGAAATAACGCCGTGCATAGAGCCCATAATGAGGAATTCAGACCCAAGCATTGCAGTTATGCTTTATATAGACCACAAATGTATGATTTATATGTAAAAATGAATGATTTAAAAGCATGATATGTACCCTTTAAAACATAACTGTGTTTAGGCGAATATTTGCAAAGACCAACATTTTGACATTATTTTGTGTGTATTTGACTGTTTATGCGCAATAAGCAGTAAAAAAGAGCTCAATTTAGTGCTGAGAGGCGGCTTTATATGCCGCACTTTGGGTGTGAGAACAAAATCTGAGTCAAATCATGCACAACACGCGCAACCCTCACTGAAATTCATATTAATAAATAGTTTATATTAATATTAATAAATAGTTTCAGATATTTTAGTATCAACATATATCGAAAAATCTATATTTTTGACAACACTAATATTACACTTAGCCTATTATTTAATTTAATTTATTATTATTTAGCCTACATTATTATAAAATGTAACCCCCCCAAAGTGGTTATAGGAGTGACTGTGTTACACACCACTGCTGAAATACACACACATTTGGCAGGTTGGTGGGTGTTAATGTCAAGCCCTGCTGGTGTGCATCTTGAGACAAAACAATGGCAATGACATAGTTTAAGATTTGTCAGTGCAAGCTTGCTTTCAGTTAGAACAGATCAAACATGCATTTTAGTCTGGGACTAGGTTTAAGCCTTGATCTCACGTCTTCAAAATTATGTTAGGTAACGTGCATGGCGAGGGCCAGTGTTTGGCATGAGCAGTGCGGTTCTCACCCCTGACACGAACGTGTTTCCGGTCTCAGAGGGGGCGAGGTCCAGACACAGCACATCAGCCGCGTGTCCATGGAAACTCTGCAGCATCTGACCGCTCTCAACATCCCAGAGAGCACACGTGCCGTCGCCGCTGGACGTCAGGATCTACCGCAAACACAAAACACACGGCAGTCGGCACAACGCAAGACACCGTTTCATTATTTCATCCTTCACTGAAGCATACCTGCATATCTGAGTTCGTAAAGCAGCATGCAGACAGATAGTTGGTGTGCATGGCCACTGATTTCTTCTTGGCGGCAAGGTTTTCGTTCTTGTCCAGGGATAGAGGGTACACAGAGCACTTATTGTCCAACCCACTGAGAAAAACACCAGATAAGTTAGTAAAAATACTCAACCATTATTCTGCTGAAGAAAGCAAGCAAATTCCCACCAATTATAACTTCATATTGTTTTTTTTCAAGCAAGGATATTTTGTATTTACTCAAATTGTGTAAAAAAAGAAAGAAAGAAGTGTGTAACATTTGTGCCAACTAGTGGCACCAAATGGAACTGCATGAAATATTGTTTCCAAACATGTTTCCTAAAAGCCTCTTTTGCCAGTGTGAGTTATTTTAGTTTTGTTAAGTAGGGCTGGGTAATAAATATCGATTTCTTGATATTAATCGATTCTCATTTTTACGAACCGATATCGATTCTTAAATCTCAAGAATCGATTAGTCATCCTGTTTCATTTCAAATGAATGGGACATTGTATCGCATCCAAAAAAAAAATCGCAATAATCTATGTGCTTTGTTACTATTGATATGAAACAAAGTCTCAATTTTCAAATTACGTCCATTTTCTTTAGAAATTCAAAAACATAAATAACGTTTTGGCGCTGTGGCGTGAGATCGCTCTGGCGCAGCTCTAGAGAAGCAGCAGCTCTGATCTCTCTTCCGGGTTAATAATACCAGTTACAGCGGGAAATAAACATGAATGAGAATCTGAAAGATAGAGTACAACTTATCGAAATCCGTATCATGTCACATTGATTCGCTCAATCAGCGTTTCAACCGTGGAAAGACGTCAGTTAAACAGCTTGTAATCAATGTCATGTATCGTCATATTTACCTCAGAAAAAACCCACATCAACTCGTTAGTCAGCTAGAAAAAATAACTCTAGGGAGGAGCATTTTGCTAAATATATACACATATATATATATATTAATGTTCTTCAATATTTAATGCATATTTGAATAAATCTGGCAAGTTTTATGACAGCCACCATTTAAATGTTTATATTTCATAATCTTATAAAAATAAATAAAATTGTAATTTAAGTGTTTGTATAGCTACAAAACAGTTCATTATTACCTTGAAGCCTAGTAGGCTACAACTAGACTCCCATAGTTTACAGCATTAGTTAAGAGATTTGATTTCCTTGAGAAAATTTGCCATTTATTGTAACTGATATCCAAAATAATCAATATTGAATCGAATCGGAATCGAAATCGAATAGAATTGCAAGCTTGTGAATCGAAATCGAATTGAATTTTGAAATTTGTGTCAATACCCAGCCCTATTGTTTAGTATTCCCCACAATGGAAAAAAGACAGACAAAAACACTGTATCATGTGTCATTTTTACTATGTTAGAATAGTCTATTTATAAACACATTCGATATATTTAACCAGAACTATTGTTATAATCACTGCCGAAAAAAAAACAGTATTCAATCGTCCCTCAGCTAGAATTAAATGATACTCAAAACCGCCAGTAGTTGGCAGCAAATCATTGTCTTAACTTGTAAGTCAGTGAATCATTCAGTCAAGCAATTTGTTTAAAACGGCTGATTCATTCAAGAACAAAGCAGAAGTGAGTAAGCGAGTCAAGAATGATTCGTTCAAAAACACAAATTCTTTCAGTAATGGCTCTACTGTTTGGAACTACCGGTATTTTCTTTATTTGAAACATAGCAAAGGCTGCTACTGCTCTTGATTTAGAAAGGAGCCAGAGACTCACCCACAAGCCACTGCACATCCAGATGGGGCGTAAGCGCAGGCCATGACCCATGTACAGGGCATAGTCACTGCATGCTCCTGTCAAAACATTTGAAAGAATGAGAATGGAGCAGTAAAATATCTTATTAAAAACAATAAGGCCTATAACAGAAGTTGAATAATATTATATTCAAAATTGGACCAGCGTTTTAATAAAAATGCAGTCTCTTTTCACCTTATTTGTTGTAAACGCATCCCACACAATCACCTTTCCATCCTAAAATGCAGGAGGAAATTAAATAATGAGAATATATTCAAATATAATTGCATGTAAAAATAGGCCCTCCTTGATGTATTTGTTATGTTCACGGACTGACCTGAGACGAGCTGACGATTCTCCTCTTATCTTTACACCAGTCCATACACAAGACTTTATTTCCATGGCCTTTCAGTGTCCGTCTGGTTTTCATGACAAACTGACCCAAAGCCTCAATCTTCTCTGCCACTTGATGTACTGATTGAAAAAGTCACAATATTAAAGCCATTTTGTTTATTTCCTGTTTTTATTATTAATGAACATGCCTGGATAATCATGCATCACAAAAAAAAAAATTGCTGGCAGTAATAATTGCCTCTTATCGAACCATTAGTGACCAAGCCTTACAAAAAAAAAATAATAATAATAATAAATGAACAAACGAATAGAGTAAATAGTACTGTCAAATCAATTAATTACAACATAAAAGTTTATATGTGCATATATTTACAAACTTATGTTAGATGTGATTAATCACAATAAATCGATTTGACAGCACGAAATGTAATACATAAATAAACATGTATAAAGAAATAAAATAAGATAATAGATATATAAGACAAATTAACTAAATAAAAAAACAAATACATTTTAAAAGGTTAAAAGCTGAATGAAAGTTCTCCTAATAAAGTAATTATTAGCAGTGTTGTTCTTGTGTAATAAACAAACTATAAAACCGTTTGTGGCCATTGAAATAAATCTTAAATAAAAGAAAATATTAGGTTAAAAGCTTAACTAGAAATAGAAATGTTGCAACTATTTACTTTTTTTATACGTGTTTTAATTTGGAAAAAATAAAAATACTGTAAATGAAAGCTAAATAGAATATTTAATCAGAAAACGTCAAAACCTAATTATTATTAAGGATAAAAGAGCACATATTAATAAAACTTAAACCAAATATATAAAAATAAAGGCTAATTCAAAATATTAACACAAGTATATAATAAAATTAACACGGTTTAGTAATGACTGGCCTGTTTTCCTCTGGATATCCTAATGTGAAGCTGAACGGAAAATAAAGCGCTCCCTCGCCACCTCCACCATTATCATCCTCATCACCTTTCTCAACACTAATCACTTTATCTAAATGACTGATTGCTCTGATTTCCTCTTCAGTCTGATTCACGGAACACATCCAGACACATAGCAGCTATGGTTATTATTATATGATGATTACGCTCCTGCCATACGTCTTCATTAAACACACATACGGGGGTTTAACGGTTCTTACGCTCGACATCGTGCAGTTTGGCTCTCTCATCCTCCAGCTTCGTCTTCAGCGTCTCAGATTCGGTTTTGAGAGTCGACAGAGTGTCGCTAGGCTGCTCTACCACCTCCTGCTCGGCCATTACCACGAGAAAACACAAGTTTCGCGGAGATGAGGAGGTTTTGTCGGGGAGAGGAGAGAGCAGGGACACGGAGGAGAGCCTGAAGACGGAGCGCACGGTTGATGGATGATGCAGCTGGAGTGACGTCACGAGGGGCGCGCGCACGCTCTCGCGCATCCGCCTGAACCCCCAGAGAGTCACTCGGTCTCGGATGTGCGTTATATTATATCCTCCTGAAGAAGATGATCAATATTTGCGCTTTTTACATCTGGACTTCTCAAATCCCAGACTGGAAAATATATTCTCTATAAATTCACTATTTCAATTTAACAATCTCAGGATTTCCATAATTTTAAACTTAAATAAACTAACTTGACAATATCGTAAGTATAATTTAAATGTTAAATATTTAAAGGAAAATTAAAACTACAGCAATGAATATACAGAAAACTGCATATCATAAATATAGTCTTAATGTTTTGTAATATATATATTTATATATGATATACAGAAAACTGCATATCATAAATATAGTCTTAATGTTTTGTAATATATATATATATATATAGGCCTATGGTGCTATAAAATCGATTAATTGCATCTAACATAAACAGTTTGTTTATATATGTGCGATATATAAATGTGTGTGTGTGTGTGTGTGTGTGTGTGTGTATAGGCTATATATATATACACACACAGTGAAAAGCACCCTTTGAGGTCTACTAATTGCTAGATAAGTTCTTGGGGTTTCCTTCTCTAGTCCTCAGAGAGTTAACCATCATAAATATTGCATTTCCACTGCATATTAAGAGCTTAAGAGAGAAGAAAGGAGGACTCATTTGGCAGTTGTGTTTATTAATTTATTTCTGGTGTACAAAAAATTTAAACAGAAGCGCAATTTGTGACAGTAACTATTTGGTATTTACAAAATGGAGCAGAACAGGTTGGTTTGGGTTATTAAAATCTATGTTACAGTGTTTATTCATGGTTGATCTTGTAAAAAAAAAAAATATTCTAAAATATACTATTTAGAGAACATTTGATTAAAATATTTATAAATAAATCTAAAATATACAAATGTTAGCAGTTATTTCATAATGCATTCAGGTCAGCAGAAACATCCTGATCATAAGTACTGGTGTCAGCATAAACACAGCTAAAACTGTCTTAAGAATTAGTCTGACCAACTAGCAGTTTTGTTAAAAGGTTAAAATTATACCAATCTATATTTTTATGTAATTGACTATTTAATAAAAGTTATGACAAGTCTTACAGAAAAAATGTAGATGCCTGAACATTTTATGCAACCGGTTCTGATATCACTAAGGTCAGAGGTTAAAGGTCAAATACGAGTGGCGAAGTCCAGGCGGAGGCTGCTGGGCACCTGTAGGAGTTCCAGTGCTTGTGGCGAGGGGCAAAAGGGAAAAGTGACCTGGAAACGATACTGTGAATCCATCATGAGCTGAGACGAGCCCTCGCGCTCCTGCAGCAATGCCTGTTGCCATTGAGACAAGAACAAAGGCCAATCAGAAGTCAAGGTGATGCTTGATGCTCAATACTACAATGGAGTGCATTAGTTACGCCCCCTTTTTCAGCAGCGCTGGTTCCGGAAGTATTATTTCCCAGAGAGATAAAAAAAAAATCTTTATCCAAGTGTTATAAGCCATGAACCAAGCCAATCAGCTACAAGGTGATTCACTGCATTACAAACATTGATTCAAAGCTAAAGTATTTGAAAAGCTGACAAAATGACAAAGGACAAGACTGTGCCTTAACGGCTTTAGTGAGGGAAAGAACTACAAAGCATTGCAAACAGCATTCTCTAATTTAAAACAATGGAGAAATATTAAACTTCTCACGCACAAATGTTGATTATCTATATAAAAACCATAGATTTTAAGTTTATTGCAATATACAAATATTAATCCTGCTGTTAAATATGATCATTTAAAAAAATAGGCTGAAATAAATATAAGTTTATAAGTTATCTTTCAAAATCAATTTCCTTGTTTTTGTACTTCCTGAACCTGACTGTTGCGCTCTATTGATTTGTGATAATTTATCTTTATATTACTGTTCATATCGGCCTTATAGAAGAAATTGTACTATAATATAATTGTAATAAAATACTTTGATTCAGCAAAGAATCAAAATGACAAATGATTTATATTTTAAATAAATGCTGCTTTGTTTTCATCAAAGAAAGCATGTATCATAGTTTCCACAAAAACTTAGAAAAAATTGATAACAATTAGAAATGTCTCAGCGAATCAGCATTTTAGAATGATTTCTGAAGGATCATGTGACTCAAAATTCAGCTTTGATCACAGGAATAAATTACAATTAACAGATATTCAAATAGAAAACAGTTATTTAAAACTGAAATATTATTGCACAATTTTCTCTCTATTTTTAATCCTTTAAAACAAATGATAGTGATTCCAAACTTTGAAACGGTAATATACCTGCTTAAAAAACTGAAAAAAAAAATCTTACCTGCACTTTGCGGACAAAGGACGGAGCCACTCGCTTTTCGAAATCATCAATGGGTGTGTAGGAGTTTAGGATCTTCACAATCTACAAAACCACAAAACAACCAAACTTTTATAAATCAAGACAAAGAATTGACATTCTACGTGCATGTTGGCACAATTTAAAGGTGAGGTATGTGATTTTCTTTTTTGACCATTTTTACAAAATTACTTGAAATCCTATTCCTAACCCACTCACAGCCACTGAGTTAGAAGCACTGAATTGAAAATTAAGCAATTTAAAGGGATAGTTCACCCAAAAATGAAAATTCTGTCAGTGTTTACTCTCCCTCATGTTGTTCCAACCCCCGTAAGACCTTCGTTCATCTTCGCAACACAAATTAAGATATTTTTGATGAAATCTGAGAGCTGGATCAGTCCTGCAAACAAGTCCACAGGCTTCTTGAGGAATTGAAACTTGCCGGCCTTGAAAAGTTATTAAAGACATCGTTAAAATAGTCCAATTGACGACAGTGGCTCGATCTTAACTTTATCAAGCGACGAGAACACTTTTTGTGCGCAAAAAACAACAAAAATAACGACTTTATTTCAACTATTCATTTACTTCTCTCTCTGCCTCGAGTCAGGTTACTAGTTAAATAGCGTAAACTTCTGTTATTGTATGTCACACGCATCACACACATGACCAGCGTCGGCCAATAGCGAGCCTACGTGTGACGTAGCTCTACGCAATTACACTAGTTTAACTGACTAGAGGCCCAAAGAGAAGTAAATGAATAGTTGAAATAAAGTCGTTATTTTTGTTTGTTTTTGCGCACAAAAAGTGTTCTCGTCGCTTGATAAAGTTAAGATTGAGCCACTGAAGTCACTCGGACAATTTTAACGATGTCTTTAATAACTTTTCAAGGACGGCAAGTTTCAATCCCTATGGACTAGTATGCAGGAGTGATCCAGCTCTCAGATTTCATCAAAAATATCTTAATTCCTGTTCCGAACATGAACGAAGGTCTTATGCCTAGTTCAGGTTACACGATTTTAGCCCGATTTTGGCACGATCCATTTGACGTAGGGTGTCGTGGGGATTCGTAAACGACAACGGGTGTCGGGATGCAAAATTCGATCGTATCATCTCGTATAGTGTGTCATAGTCGGTGACAACCTACGTCGCGTCTGCGATGCTTCACGACATCACGACAAAAAGACTAGCATGTTTAATTTTTTTAACAGTCGTCCACGACGGTTCCGTCAAGCTTTTCCGTATACAACTTTCAAAAAAGACAAAACGAAAGAGAGACGATGGTGCTAACGTTAAAACTAGAAGTAAAAATATATAAGAAAACAATATTTTACCTCAAGTTCTCTTTGGAGGATTGACAGCCCATACTGTCCTCTTCGAGCAGGGTTCTCAAGTCTCACGAAATGGCCGCGAGACACACAATTCAACCAGTTCACACACTCACACGCCACACCGTGTATTTCTCACGCTGAAAAGGCAATGCCGAGCAATCCAGGAACTCACTCGCTACGAGTTTCGCCTTTTCGATGACATCACGCGCGCCGTTAAATGCGATGACTGGTCAGGAAGTAACGTGTAGTCTGACATGTGTCGTCCACGACACGACAAGATTTTAGGATTTTTAAGATTTTTAAAATCGGGTAATCTGACACAGTAACTATCGTAACAGACAAAAAAATCTGAGTTTTGCAGATGCATGATTGCGCGTCCATGTTCTTCGAGTGGGTGGAGTCAGGGCCAGCGTTGGAGGAAAGAAGGTAGGACCTTTTGAGTTGTGTATTTTCAAAATCTGCCGGCCATTTTAGAAATCCCATACCATACCTGTAAGTTCCTCTAAAATGAATAAGTGTTCAAGCGGCACCTGCACGGACGAGAGCTCGGAGCACCTCTGCTTGATCTCGGCTGCGTCTTCATCGGTGGTCTTGTTGACCTGAAGAAGCCAGGCGACCTGAGACAGCGGCCCGAGTGTTTCCATGGCACAGCTGCTCTGCAGACCCTTCTCTCGCAGCCACTCCTCTAGGTAACTGATGTTACACCTGGAAAAGAAACAGGTCCATTCAGGACGTTCAGAAAGGCAAACTACCATCCTACCCATATACTAGATCTCAACTTCATTTCCTCTGTGATGTATAATGTCAAACAGAAAAAGATTTCTCTTTCTTTACTTACTGTTTGATTGGTCTGCCAAATTTGAATGCAAACTCTAATTAAAAACTAAATAACGTGCAACCTCTTGGAAACTAATAAAAATAACAAGCAACATATTGAGGTCATGTGCAGCTTTAAAAAAAACAGTATGCAATGTACTGTATTCACTGATGTTCAAACATTCGGGGTTGGAAAGATTTTTTAAAAGATGAAATAAAAGACTAAGGCTGCATTTATTTGGTCAAAAATACAGTAAAAACTACGGAAGCCCTGAACCGCACCATAAAAAAAAAAATAATAATATTAATAATCTAGCATTTCGAGATTAAAGTCGAAATGTTTCGACTTTAATCTCGAAACGTTTCGACTTTAATCCCGAAAACCTAGATTTTTATTTTTTTTTTGATTAAAGTCGAAACGTTTCGAGAGTACAAGATCATCTTCCGTAGAAGTTGCGTGTGTGCTTGCCATTGTTTCACATTGCGGCACGCACAGG